AACTAGAATCTCAGATGTTGCTAGCAGGAATGCGTAATGTTTTGGAAAACAGTTGGGCAGTTTCTTATAAAGTTAAACAAACATTTACCCTATGATCCAGCAATTCCACTCCTCGGTGTTTACCCCAGAGAAATGTAAACACGTTCACACAAAGATTTGTGCTTAGATATTCATAACAGTTTTCTTCATAACAACCCCAAATGGGAAATGAGCTAAATATATAGGGCTGACCAAAAAGTTCATTTGGTTTTAAGTAAAAATAAAAGACACATTTTTCATTTTTACCAAGAACTTGGTATACTGAACAGCATATTCATTAACTGAATGAACTTTCTGGCCAACCCAGTAATTGGTGAATGGCTAAACAATTTGTGGTCTATGCAAATGGTGAAATACTATTCTGCAGTAAAAATGAATGAACTGATATTACACAATATCATAAATGCACCTCAAAAACATTATGCCAAGTGAAAGAAGCCAGACTCAGAAGACTGCTCCCCATATGAATTAAACTGCTTGAAGTGTTAGAAAAGGCAAAACTATAGTGATAGAAACAGATAAATCATTCCCAGGAGTTCCACGGGAAGGGAAGGGATTTACTGCACAGAGTCACAAGGGTAATTTTTGCAGTGGTAGAAATTTTTTATATTATTATTGTAGTGTTAGTTATACAACTATATACATTTGTCAAAACTCACTGAAGTTTGCACTTAACATTAGTGAATTTTATCATATGTAAATTATAATTCAATAAAGCTGACTTTTAAAAGAACAGCCATATACTCATTGAGTAATATGAGTTTGTATGCCACTGCACAACTAATAGAAAACAAAGTTATAGTTTAAAAATAAATCATTCCTTGAACAAATATTGAATAATCACTTATTGTATGTCAAAGTCTGGGCTAGGAGTTAAAGACAAAGTTCTAAACTAGACAGTGGGTGGTAAGACAGGTTAGTAAACAGACAATTAAAATACAGTGTAACTGATATGATGGGGATAATCACAAGATGCTACAGGTACACAGAGAAGTGGTATGCAGCCCAGCCCTGGGGGTACAAAAGGCTTTTTATTAAAGATAATAGAATGCAAATATGATGGAAGAATATATGTAAGTTAAGCAAACAGAGGCATGTGGGCAGTGATCCAAAGGGAGGATAACATGCACCTGAAACCTGGAGTAAGAAAGCAGGTGGTGACCTGTGAGTGAAACTGAAGCGAGATATAAGCAGGTATAATCAAGATACAGCTGAGAAACAGAAGTCATAGAATTTCATAATTCTTACATGTGGGAGCTAAGGCAAAGCAAGAGGACAAGGGCGTTCTTACTTTCCTAGCTTGAGAAACTGGGCAAAGGATGACATTATTCACTGAAACTGAAATGCAGGAGCACAAGGAATGGGTGTAGTGAAGCGGGGGGAGGATGTGTTTTATGAGTGTTAACTACAAAGTGCCTGTGAGACATCCCAGTACAATCGGTAGAAGATCATTGAATATACAAGTCTGGAGCACAGAAAACTGACCAGAAGGAGAGATGCAGGTTTAGGAGGTACGAACCCATCACAAGAGAGGATGAGATCAACCAGGGAGATGGAAACAGGAAACAAGATGGCCCCAGATTTAAAAAGGAAGGAATAGCCAGACAGCTAGGAGAATAAATAGAATACCGTGTCTCAGAAATCAAGGAAAGAGAATGCTTTGAGTGACCAACGGTATTAAAATGCAGCAGAGTCAAGCGAGAAGAAAGGTGAAAATTGCACATGCAATCTAAAAGAGGGGGCTAATGGGTCAGTTTTTCAAGTATAGCTTCAGTGGTGTGAAGGTGGGGAAGCCAGATACAGAGGCCTGAGGAGCGAGTGGGAGGGGATGAAATGGAGATATTCAATACACTTTAGGGAAACTTCTCCGTGACAGAGAAGAGAGAGAATGTGGAATCTGGAGGAGGACCTGGGGATTGGAGGCAGTGCCTTGCCCACATGTTCATGGGATGCAGCCAGTAGGGAGGGAGAGATGGATGGAGTAACATTCCTGAGACGGCAGTAATGGATGGGATCCAGTTTTCAGTAGAACAAAGGATATTTCTTCCAGGCCATCAAGAGGGGAGAAGGGAGGTAGTGAGTGGAGATGCAAATGTGTAAGTTTTACGGCAGGAAGTTGAAGGAATTTTGACCCGTGTCTTCTATTTTTCTGTGGGAGGCAAGGTCATAGGGAAACTAAGGATGAAATGAGGGTCATGCATTTTAGAGAAGAGGTGACACTTTGAAATAGCTGCTGTGCAGAAGGGGGAAGGACTCTCTATTGAAACATGATGGGACTCCTGGGCATCACTAAAGGCCCAGTTAAGGTTGGGGACCATGAATTAAGACTGTTTCCAGTTCAGAGTGGTTCCCCCCCACCGCCCAAGTTACCCAGTAACCCAAGTGCAAGTATAGAGAAGAGCAAGCTGAATTCATTCAGGTTTTGGTCTACACAGGGCTCTGTGAGATCCTTACAGAGCAAAAAAAATGAGGATTTTGAGAAAAGGAATGGCTGTGATGTGAATGTAATCTTAGCTGGATAATGAAGGAAGTGAAAATAAGGGACTCCTGGGAGATAAGGAGCAAGTAGAGGCATTTGTAAACTGGAAGTCCCTAGAAGGTTTATAAAATGATATATTGGGGATAATTAAATTGAGATAAGGTGGAAAGATGGGCAAGATCATAGGAAATAAAGAAGGCAAGGAATCTGAAAGGCCAGGATGTTGAATTATCCCATGCTGAAGTCACTAAAGATGAAAGTACTACGTGTGGTGGGCAGAAAGCCTGGACGGCTGGATCTTCAAAGCATCAGGAGGAGTAACTAGGACAGAATGTATAGGGTGACAGTGCCAAGGGGTATGGTGAGGCAAAACCCCAAGGCAAACATCTCCAGTGAGTGGGATCTGTGCAGAGGTCTGAGGAGATCTAATCCAGAAGGGGTCTGTTAGAAGCAAAGAGGACACAACCTGCAACTTCTCACAACGTGGGAGTCGGAAAGAAGAAGGGCCTCCACTTGGGTGTCTGTGGCGTAGCCTTAATGTGTTGGGTCCATGAAGAGTTTCAGGGCTGAACATCACTGATACAAATAGAGTAGATAGAGGTGTTTAGGTGATGGGAGCCTTTTCAGGCAGATGAGGGAGCAGACAGCCTGGTGGTGGTGGTGGCAGTGAGAACTCGCTGCCTTCTCTACCAGTGTTGGTGGCGTGTCTCAGCTGGAGCAATTAGTGCAGTAATTAAAGCTCTGGAATCGGCCGGACTTGGGTTGAGTCCAAATTCTGTCATTCCGCACTGCTCATGGGAACTTCTCTGCACGTTGGTTTTTTCAACTCTAAAATGAAGACAGTATTGTTTACTTCAGAGCTGTCTTCGAACTTCCATGAGATTATGCTTGCCAAACAGCATGGTGTAATCATATAGTAATTAACAAAGAGTATCATTATTGCCGTTATAATTCTGGGTGTATGTCATGCTGGAGTCCCCAAAGAAAGTACATACTGTGCTTAATGAGATAACCTTTCAGTTAGTCTGGGTAGAGGGAAAGGTGAGGGTATGAGAGTTTGCCATATGGCAAAGATGAAATCATTCAGTAAATGAGAACTTTTTCCTCAAGATAGATCTTTAAACCGTGTCAAATGTCAGAGAACCTAACCACCAGAGTCATCTTCCTTCTCTTCCTTAATAATGGGTCTGGAAATTCAGGATGATTGAACTTTTCCTTTGTCAACAGGAGCAAAGTGTTTAGAAAAAGGAGGCTTGGGAGAGAACTGTAACTCCCTGAACTCGTTAAGACACCCCAGCCCTGGTTGCACAGTCCATTGACTTTTGATTAGAGAGCTGTACTCTTATAACAGACATCACTGTCCAGATGTAGATGCACTACAGTGCTTTCCAAGTAGGAAACAAAGATTGCTTGGAAGTGGAAAATCTCCTGACTTACTCCTCTGATGAGGGGCCCTTACTCTGCACCCACTTGAGTCTTCTTCATGCGGCGGAGAGCACTCTCCTCCTGTCTCTTTACAACTTCCATCTCCTCCCCAAGCCTCCAAAAGGAAGCAGTCTGTGCAGCGGCCATGGTGCTTTTCCTGCTGGTATGGAAGACAGATTATACGATTTAAAACACAATCCTTCCCTGACCCAATTTAACGCCTGCACATAACTTCCCGGAGTCTGATCAATGTTCCTGATGCTTGCTTGTCCCGGGGGCTGCCTCTGTTCCTTCTGCAACTACCCTCTTAGATCTTATTATTTTTTTTAACCCTGACAGTTTCTGTCCTACTTTTTGTGGTTAACATTTTTTACACATTTTCCAAAACCCCAACGTTTTTCTTCAAATTTTACTCATTCATTTGTTTTGTAAATAAATACATTACTTTATCTTATACTGAGTTGAGAGAGGGAAATATCTGGCTGTCCATCTTTCTCTCTGTCTGATAAGTCTAAAGACATTAATAGCACAGACTCCAGAATCAGACTGTCAGAGACTGAATCACAGGTCTACCACTATCTACGTGACCTCGAACAAGTTGCTTAACCTCTGTTTGCCTCAGTTCCCATCTGTGAAATGGGAATAGAATAACAATCTCATGGAGTTGTGAGGATTAAATTAGATAATAAATACAACATGCTTGAAACAGTGCCTGGTGTAACTTAAGAGGTATAGACATTTTTGTTATTTATCTATGCCTCCTGGGAAGAAGGGTAGGTGGAGATTAATTAATCCTTTTGAGGTAAGTGAGATCTTCAATGTGTGGGTGTTGGTAAATGCCAAAAGATCATGGATGAGAGTGTCAGCTTTCTGTGGGTTAGGAATGTGATTTATCAATTTTGTTCCTTAAATGGAATGGTTCAGAGATGAATATTGACATGAAATAAGGGAGGACATAGGACAAGAATGGAGAAGTTAGGAAAACAGAGAGAGGTTGATACTGGATGCTATAGAGGATTGATGGACTATCTTGGTAGTGAGGTGGTTGGAGGACATTTCTAGATGGGTGATATTCTGTTCCATTCACAGTTGTTTTCATGATGACAGTAGAGATTTCTCTGCTGGAGGCCCTCTCTCTAGTATTGAGTGAAGTCTACTCTTTCCACAGATGTGTGAGTGGAGTTTCAGAGACTCAAAGAAATAGTTGTATCCTGCCCCTGCCCCCAGGCTGGGTCTTTATGGAAGAGAACAAAGATATCCATCTAGAAACAAGATCCTTAGAGACAAGAAGCTCCTGGGTTCCTGAAAATTTGCAAAAGTAGTGGAGAAGAAGCCTTGGATGTCCACAGGTTGCACAGGTGGGGAAGGCGTCTAGCTAATTTTGCTAAGATCTCAAAGGTCAAGAAACCTCAGCTGACATCTTAACCAACATTTACTGAAAAGCAGTTATGTAGTAGACATTGAGAGAGGCCCTAGAACCAAGCCTTCTCACTAGTCCTTTGACATAGTTAGCACAGTGGCAAGACCAAGTTCCCAGCCTAACAGAGGGTGAGCGTGGTGCATGGGAACCAGAAAGATGCTGCTCTTTCTACACCCTCCCCCTGCAACACTCTGTTGCCGTAAACTTCTCCAAACAACTGAGGTGTCAGTCTCTATGCCGGTAGAATTTCATATACAACCACCAAAGAGGTACAGAAAGTAGATTCTATTTAATCCTCCCAACAGCCCCAAGATACAGATCATACCGCCATTTTGAAGAAGGGCATGGTGAGAAGAGGAGATTCATAGTTACAGGTGTGAGTAGATTTTAAAGTCCGCTAAGCCAAAGTTGATTGATTGATGCCTTTGCCACGTTCTCTCTGTAGGACCTTGAGCAAAATTCCTCACCTCTATGAGCTTCCGTTTTCTCTGAACAAAGAGATCTTACAGGTTTGTGTGAGGATTACAGCAGAGTGCTGGTCTCTTTGTAAATACCAATAAAATGGTGGTGTTACTATTTTGGTATTTTCTTGCAAACAATTTTTCACATTTGTAGGCATTAGATGTCTAATATTTTAGAGAGAAAAATTAAATAAAAATAAAATTATCTTCCTAAACTAGACTGCCATAGTCACGTTACCTCCTGCTTATAGATTACAATGAATCTTTATATTCTTTGTGTGGAAAAATCTGCTTAATTGATCAGCTCTGCCAAGTTCTTATAAAGACTAAAAAAAAAGGTGAAGAGGCAGCAGAGAGGAAAAATAAAAATATTCTTTATGTCGTCTTTTTCTGTTGACATTAGTATTTCCTCTCCAGCAGAGAGGAGTAAAACTAATACTGGGGTGCGTCATACTCGGAAGGAACCAGAGCTGCTCTGGAATTAGCTGGTTCTGAACTGGAAGGGTTAGGCCATCTCAAAATCGTTCATGGGCCAGTTCAAACAGGGTTCTTTGGCTTGTTGTTCTCTTTTTAAAGAAGTTCCAGGTCATAAAGGAGGAAACTGCACGACCTGTTCTGACTTTGGCCCTTGCCCTGGTCATGCGGTCATGTTGGTGCAGCAATGGAGTGAGTGTCCATGGCCCAGATGCATAAGCAGAGAATGGGTTGCAACTCAGACTCTTGACTGAGAAACCTTCTGTGCTGCTTCAGATGAGGGGCTGTTTCTTTCCCCTTCCTTCCTCTTGAGGCTGAAATGCGGAGGCACTGAGAGCCTCACGCAGGACTGACCTGGATGAAAGGGTCTTTGTGAAGAGAAGGCCATTTATCAACCACAGGGCCATTTTGGCTAATGACTGAACTGTAGTCACTGCTGCTTATGGCAACTTTACATCCAGCCCTAGAGTCTCACCTTCGCCAGCCAATCTGTAGGCCTACACTGATGCGTGCTATGCTGACCTGGTGTTTTGTGGGGACTTTCTCTAGGTTTCCAAGTGTTTAATTTTTATTGCATTTGAGGGACTAAGGAGAAGGCCTGGGGGGGTGGGGGTGGGACAAAGAAAAACACTTTAAAAGGGAGACTTTTTTCAGGGACTTTAGCCAATGTTCCAAAGAGCTGTGTTGATGAAATGAGGCAGCTCAAGTGAAAACAAATTGAATTTGGAAAAAAAAAAAAAAATCCTCCACCCAGTGGCAGTTGGAGCTTCCATTCTGTGTTACTTGTAACTTCCTGGAACCACGTTTGCTTTGCTAAGCAGACTGAATCATTTAATCTGTCAGCTTCTCTCTGCCCCTGCCAGACCTCACTCAAGGAACACTTCCAGGGCCATGGGAGTTCACCGAGGCCTCTCTGCCTGTCCAGGCCACTCCCTGGAGGCCACGTACCCACAGCGCAAATTTCTCTGTCCTAATTCAAGGCTGCTTAAAGTCAGGGGAGAGCATTTCTGTTCCCATCCACAGAATAGATCCAAAGGATACGATAACAGCAAAAACTAGTCTTTTATTGCGTGCTCCTCGTGTGTAGCAAGCACCAGACTGAGAACTTTATATCCATTAATTCATGAGTTCTTTACAGTGAGGTGATACGGAGAGCGAATGTTCTTCTGGCTTTACCGATGAGATGCCTGAGCAGGACTCTACTCAGAAGGAGTGGAAATTCTAGAGGGGAGGCCAGCACACAAAGAAACCACAGGACAGAGTGACAGTGTGGGCCACGTCTAGAGATACTAAGGAGGAATGAGCAAGTCGCTCTAGCTCTAGACCCAATAAAGGAAGACCTGAAGAGAAGGTAATGCTTGGACAAGAACTGAAAGACAGAAAGAAGTTTACCTAAGAGTTGTTGTCAGAGAGACCAGCAGGGTCAGAAGCATGGAGACGTGGACCTGAATGGTACGGCAGAACGATGGAAGGGGTCTAGTGTTGTTCCCATGTCAATTGTAAGGGAAGAGGGCGAAGAATGAGAATGATCACCAATATCAAATTTTCCAGCCTCCTTTGAAGTTAGATGGAGCAATATTCTGATTTCCTTTCCAGCCAACAGAATGGGGCAGGAGGTGATAGGCATGTCTTCCAGGTCCATAAACATTTTCGTGAGCAATCCTTTCTCTCTTTCCCCATATTCTGGCAGACAGAGAGAACTCTGAGAACCCAGAGGAGGGTGACCCACGAGACCAAAGGAAACAAGGGCTCTGAGTTATGGCCTGAAGCAATCACCCCTTTCTCAGCCAACCTACGTTAGATGGTGGCAGGCATGAGAAATGGATTCTTGCTGTGTCATTCTGTGGAAATTTGGGGATTATCTGTTCCGGCACTTTGTCTACCCTAACTAACCTGGGGGCTCAGTGAAAGGAAGACAGCCACCTAGTCCCTGAGAGCCTTGCATACGGGGAGGCAGAGTTTAGGATTTCTCCTGAAAGGGATGGGGAGCTGCTGGAGAATGTTTAGCCGTGGAATGCCCAGAGTTCAGCTTAGAAGTTTGCTCTGGGTGTTGTGTGTGCAGTGGGTTGGAGCTAGAGGCAAGATAGTGGAAACGGAAAGAGGTGTGGTTGACTAGGGGTCTATCTGTGCCGCCCTCCAGAGTGTGCCTACCTCTTATTCTCTTGTTCTGTTTTTGTACCCTGTGGACGTTGTAGATATAGCAAGGCCTTGTGAGATCGTAGAAGCCTCCAATGGCATAAATGAATGAATGACTTCAACCACTTTGTGCTAACCATGGTGCACGTGATGACACACACCATCTCGTTCGAAACTCAGCGCAGTCCCAGGAGGAAGATATCATCATTGTGAGCAAATGGGTAAGAAAACAGTGACTTAAGACGCCTTGTGCTACTTTCCAGAAGACCTAGAGCCACTAAATTCTAGAGCTGAGGCTCGAACCCTGGACTCTCTGACTCCAGAGCTCACACCCCATTCATTACACCCTGCTTGCTCAGTAATCTTGAAGTAAGAAGGAGCTTCCAGGGTTGAGTTTAACAGTCCCCATGGTGGGGAATCCCTTTTACTACATACTACTTATGTGGCTTCTGCCTGGTATATGTTGTGACAGGAAATAGCCTCACTTATCACAAGTTCAATGACATTTAGAACCCTTTAAGTCCTCAGATATGTGGAACAAGTTTTTCATTTTACAGATGAGGGAATTGCCTCCTTCAAAAATGGGAAGGAAAGGGTTACACAGGCCTGCGATATAGTCTTTCCCTTTCCTGGGGACACCCTGGGGGAAGAAATGTGACCTGGTCAAATCTCCTTGTAAATAAGCTATTAAGGATTCCAGGGGAAACCACTGATGGTATTTATTAGTGGCAGAATTTCTATCTTTGGGATCCTTTTAGCAGCCTGTACCTCACCCTTCTAGGATTGCTTATGGTAAATAAACCTGGAATCTACTGATTCACGGGGCACGACACCCTGGAAAATGTCACCTAAGCTATGTAACTGCAGGAGTATAAAATGGAAATGTTTCGTGACTAAAAGAGCTGGCTTTCATGTAAGCAATGTGTTTGGATACATCTTTTAGAGACCTGTGTGTTAAATCTGGGCCAGAGCAAGTCCTAATATGACAAGAAAGGGCCCGGGAAGTGGTATTGGCTGTCCCAGCCTCTCCCCACTTTCCCTGGGCCCCATGATTACTTGTAGCTTAGAAATGATTTGTAAAGCTTGATACTTGGTAAGAGATTTGTTTCTTGTGAGTCTCATTTGAAAATCCAACCTTTGTGTTATGTCTGAAACATACTGCTTTATCCAAGATCACAGAGTTTGTCAGCAATGGAAGATTAAGTTTCAGACCTCTTACCTCCTGTATCCCAGACCAGTTTAATGCTGAGGTTTCCTCTGCTTCTCCATCTTCCTCATCTTCTGCATCTTCTTCATGACTTTGATGATGATGATGATGATGATGATGATGATGATGAAGGGGATGACAACAGTCTTGGCAAAGCAACTACCTTTGCTTAAATACCTACTATGTATCAGACACAATGCTACGTACTCTATAAATACAGTGTGAACAACACAAACGTGTATAAAATCTCACTACTTATATAAAACAGATGGGCACAGAGCTTTCCTTATGAAACTTCCAATATTCAACCCACCAAACAGCAACTTCATATGGCTCTGCCTAATTCTATATGTCAAGTAATCTAAGTTAGGTGACCAAAGAAAGCGCCTCTGAAGATCTTCAGTCTGAATGGTAAGAGGGAGCCTAGTATATAAACATCAGAAGAGAGACTATCCCATGAAAAGGGAAGCTTCAACTGTAAGGGCTCTTAGCAGGGAACCAGTCTGGGAATTTGAGACACTGAAAGAGTACTGATATGATTGGGGCAGAGTGGGTGAGACAGAGTGACAGGAGTCAAGTGTGGACAGGGAGGCAGGAACAAAGCAAAGCCCCTGGGCTTTATAGGCAGAACTAAAGAGGTTAAGTTTATCTTAAGTGGGTTTTGACTTCGGGTAGGAGCAGGGGAGATGAGATGTGATTTACATTTTTAAAGAGTCTCTCCAGCTGCCAAGAGGAGAATGGATGACAGGGCGCAAAACTGGTGACAGGGAGACCATGTGGGATGCTTCTGTCGTGGGTCAAGTAAGAGCTAACGTGGCCTAAGCTGGAGTGATGGCAGTGGGGATGGAGATGACTCATTAGACGTGGGGCTAGTTTGCTTGCCTCAGATAGGCAGACATTGCCCATGTTCCCAACAGCCACATCATGAAAGCTCTTATTGGTGTTTCGAGAATGTTTGCTAACAACCTGTCAGCTTAGAGCAGGCTGTGGAAGCAGACAAGTGTTGTACTCATCTACTTTGATATATGACTTGTGAATAAGATATTGCAAGTTTATTCTCTCCTTTGTCTCAGAGAAGGATTTGCTTTGGGTGGGGGTGGGGAGCATTTGACGGGAGGCACTTATAGGGGGTCTGTCTTTGGTGTACGAGAAGCTGGAGACTGGAGCTCCTATGTGCCTCTCCAGAAAATGAAACTGCTTCCAGGTCCAGAGATAATTAGACAAAAGTCTCATGGCTGCAGTGAGCAGAAAAGAAGGGCTCTGATGGGCAGATTCTTGGCATAGCTGTTCAAGACACACAAGGGCTTGCCCAGTGACCAGGAGAGTAGGGGCTACTGAGGAAAACTGGCTGAGGATTAATTGAATGATGAGAAGGAGCATGAGGATGAGAGGAAAGGGAGTTCGGGGTCTGGGACAGCGCCCGGGCTGCCTTTGCAGGCCAGTTCCCTAACAATGCGTTCTGGGCGAAGTCAGGGGCTTGATTGAAGCTTAATTCAGATTCTTTGAATGTGCCTTAAGGAGACAGACTAAGAAATGATCTGATGAAATGCAATGGGAAGCAAAACTTGGCAAGGGCACAGTGGCAAATGAGCTAAGAATATGGGGGGATATCCTGCCAGGCCCCCTTCCCCCAAGGACCACCCTCAGCGTATCCGGAGAAATCAATCAATCGGACAGGACTGGATGGCTCCCACAGGACAGCAATGGGGGACCCCTGTGAGGGTTGGGGGTCTTCCATTGACAAACAGGATTTGAGTCTCAACAGAGCATTAAGACGGGTCAGTGAAGGCACAGGGGAGGAGCTCAACGTCTCTTAGTATCCTGTGGGCTACTCAGCAGGGCCAAATGCTATGCCCACTCCTGGACTCTGCCCACGGAATTATAGGCCCGCCTCCCACTTTGTGTGAAGGCCCTGGAGCAGGAGATGTGACATGATTTCAATGTCCCACCACACTGGGGAAATCTGTAAGAACCTTGTCGAGGGGCCACAAAATTCAGCAAGTCCGCAAACCATTCCCTGCCCTTGCACTTGAGCAGGCCAAATCTCCCTGTGCTGCCTCTTTCCTCTCTTGGGCATTCTTAGTTCTCTTCTCTGAATGTCTAGCTTGATATATGCATGATCACTGAGGCAGTCACCTCCCCATGAAGGTCTTCCTATCTGCCACCCACAGGGTCATCTGCCAGGGACATCAAAATGAAAGGTTGGAAAGAACTTCATATAGATATTCTCCTTTTTATATATTCAACTTCTTCCTGCACCTCTCATCAATTGTATAAGTGAATTTATACCAAAACAACCTCTTTACAGTATCCAAAGTGCTTTACCCAATATATCTCTGCATCTCACTCTTTTGTGAAATAGCTATTATTCTCCCCAACTGACTGGTGAGAAAACAGGCTCAGAGAGGGTGAGACCTGCCCAAAGTCACACAGCAAGTTTTATGCAAGAGAAGGGCCTGGCACCCAGGTCTCCTGGTTTCCATCTATCTCATTCACCCCTATCTAATGCTGTTTTCATTATCTTCTTTTCTTAATCTGCCATCTCAAAGGGTAAAATAGAACAAAATAGTATCCTCTGTCGCCGTGTCTACGCAAATGTGGATACAGCCTCTAGTTTACTTTCCTTTAGCTCAGCTGAGACAAACTCTCATCTGGAAAAAATTTGTTCCTTAACAAACATTTCCAGGCTCATTGACTGCCCCCTCCAACCTCATACTTTTTGATCCAACCCTCTCCCCCGTGACTATTCGTAATGATTAAAAAAACACAAAAAACAACAAAAAAACTGTTATTTCACACTACTGTCTGTTCCGTTGCAAAATCTCCCTTCCCTATTCCAATTACCCTCCCCGATCTTTGACTTAGGAGACTTCTACTCATCCTTTGAGTGCCAGGAATACTACCCTTGACTTCCGAGTGGGTTGAATGGGCTGTCTCTGCTCCCACAGCCTCTTCTCCATGTTTCTTCCATCATAGCACTTACCAGACTATATTATAATTGCCTGTTCATATGCCTTGCCTCCCCTTCTGGCCCAGAAGCCCCTTGAGGGCAGGGAGTTCCTATCTTTAGCATTTAACACAGATTTTGACCCATACTAGCAGGCGCTCAAGAAATATTTCTGGCCCTGATCGGAAATCACACACTACACAGAGATACTTACATTTCTAGGCAATTAGTTTCTAATAAGTAAATAACCATTTTCTTGCATCTAGAAGCAATTTCACTGGCCTTTTCTGATCATCGTACATGCATTAAAATATACAGTTCTGAAGTATTCCGTTAGATGAGTTTTGACTTCTGTATATACCTTAGTAACCAACATCCCAGATAAGCATAGACTCCTTCCACCTGTATTCTTCCTTGCTTTCAGCCCACAAGAGCAGTCTTTTAAACACCTTGGCCCCAGCTAAGAATCCTAGTTTTAAATCCATATCTGAATGTGATCTGTCCTTTACAAGTGCAAATCTTGGCCCCAAGGACCATGATGGCTGCAGCCAATCGGCAGGATCATGGTAAATGATGCAATGCATGGCATGACTCTTTTGAGCAGAAATGGCGCATCTGTAACGTATAGTCAGACGAATAACATTTTGTATCCCTCTCATTCACGGTCAGTGGTCAATGCAAAACCTTCCCTTCTCCTGGCCGATGCAAAGAAGTCCCAAGCAATCCAAATCAGCTAGGAACAGATAACGGAGTCCAGGGTCTTAAATCATCCTTAGGCTTGCGGCCTGGTTTTCATTTGGTCCTGGAGAATGTCTTTTCCTTCCATGGATTGTGGGCCAATGTTTCTTTTCCTGCTGATTTATGACCTCCTATAAATTAACAGAGGCCTTTCAACTGGGAAATTCACATCCCAAAGACATGAATCTTCCATACATAATTCCTCCCCAAGGAAGCCAGAGTTAGCTCTCAATTACATACAGTGATGGAGATGCATGGTGGCTGAAACGATACAAGTGCTACTTCTATTCCAATTGGAACCGTCACGCCAAGTCCTAGGAAGAGAACAGTCAGATTTGTATCCCAGAAGCATGAAAGCTTTGCCTGCTCAGGGCAGAGGAAGGGGTTTGATCCATCTTTAGTTTCAGTAAATATTGGTTTGTTGAATACCTCCCATGAGATGAGAGATACAGGGGCACAGGAACACATTGTCTCCTTTCAAAGGATTCTCAGTTGGCAGTGAAGAGAGACGCATCTATGACTATATGCAAGCTAATGTTTTCCCCTTGTTTGGAGATCATTTTTTACCAGTATTTTTAGTGACTTGGGCATCAAAAGTCACAATGAAATGGAAAACAAGACACTAAATTACAATTTTATTGTCTGGTACTGGATTTCTTTTATTCATTTCTTCTTTTCTTTTAACATTCGCCGTCATTAGGTACCAGATTTTGTGCCTGGCACCGGGAATAATGTCAGAAAGAAGAGGTGGTCCTTAACTTGCAAGGGGTTCATAACGATGGTGGCTGAGGATCTGTGGGCTGTGCTCACAAATTGCACATCAGGTAGGCACAAGTGTGGAGTAAAACAGAGATTCAAAGTTTGAGGTAGAAAATTTACTATGGATTGTATCTCTCTTAAGCTGATTTTTTTTCTTACTGAGAAAGGAAAAAAATGGGTTACAGTAGAAAAAACTCAGAACAAGGAATCACAAGGCTGGCTGTCTACTCCCAGATCCTTTTCCCATTAGCTGGTGATTTGATAAAAGTCATTTGAACTTTTAGCCCCAATTCCTTCATATGTACAATGGGAGAAATGCTTACCCTGGGAGCTGGAAGTTGTGCGTGTGTGTGTGTGCGTGTGTGTGAGTGTTTGATAAGAATCATCTATGTACAATTCATTCTTCCACACATTCACCACCCATTTATTCATTCCTCTGAATAAACCTTTGTTTATCCTACACAGTAGTTTTTTGTAGCTGCTGCAACAAATTACCACTAACTTGGTGACTTAAAAGAACAGAAATCTATAATCTCACAATTCTAGACGCCAGAAGTCAAAAATTATATCACTGGGCTGAAATCAAGGCGTAAGCAGGGAAGACTCTAGGGGAGAATCTTGCCTCTTCCAGCTTCTGATGGCTGCCAGCATTCCTTTGCTTGTGGCCACATCACTCTAATCTATATCTCTGTGGTCATATTGCCTTGTCTTCTTCTGTCTGTAATTTCCTTTGACCTCCTTCCTATAAGGACACTTGGGATTGCATTTAGGGCCCACCCAAATAATCCAGGGTAATTTCTCCATTTCAAAATCCTTAACCTGATTACATCTGAAAAATCCTACTTTTGCCATATAGGGTAATATTCACAGGCTCCCAGTGTTAGGATGTCTTTTTTAAGGCCATTATTTAGCCTGCCACATCCTGTATTTGTGTGTTTGTTTGCTTGGCACTTTGAGAGTGGGTAAAATACATGGATTAAGAGTATGGACTTTGGAATCAGAGTACTGTCTCTGCAACTTCCTAGCTGTGACTTTGGGTAAGCTACTTCCATTATAATAACATGGACCACATGAGATTATATGCATCAAGTATTTAGCACCATTAGTTCAGGATATTAAGTAAGTACTCGACAGATATCAGAAACTACCAACATTAGGTGCTCATGGTCTAGAGTTAAAAGTCTTTGTCCTTTCCATTGGAGAACTCAAGATCTAGTTGAGAAAATATGGAATAAACAGGTTCAATGAAGTACAATAATTGCTATTAGCAAGGAAAGCCACGGCTGTGGGAACACAGAGTCGAGCCATATATCCTGCAGGGTAGGAAGGAGATGGAGGAATCTTGATGGATAAGAAGTTGTTAACCCAGAAGGAAAAGAGAATGCAGGTGGGGCAGCATGTGTAAAACAAGGGCATGATAGCAGATGAATGGATAAGGAAGATGTGGTACATATATACTATGGAATACTACTCAGCCATAAAAAAGAACAAACTAACGCCATTTGCAGCAACATGGATGCAACTAGAGATTATCATACTAAGTGAAGTAAGTCAGAAAGAGAAAGACAAATACCATATGATATCACTGATATGTGGAATCTAAAATATGGTACAAATGAACTTATCTACAAAGCAGAAACAGACTCACAGACATAGAGAACAGACTTGTGGTTGCTAAGGGAGAGGGGGTAAGGGAGAGGGATGGACTGGACTGGGAATTTGGGGTTGGCAGATGGAAACGATTACATTTAGAATGGATAAACAACAAGGTCCTACTGTATAGTGCAGGGAACTATACAATCTCCTGAGCTAAACCATAATGGAAAAGAATATTAAAAAAGAATGTATATACGTGTAAAACTGAGTCACTTTACTGTACAGCAGAGATTGGTACAACATTGTCAATCAACTATATTTCAATTAAGAAAAACAAAAAAAATCAATAAAAAATTTAAAACTTCTGTTTGATAAAAACTGTTCAAAAGGTGGAAAAAAAGGTCATGATAAAGGGCAAGGCTTACTGGGGAATAATATGGAATCTGAGCAGGACCAGAGAGATGCCAGGGGCTTGTTTGTGTGGGGCTGTTAGTGCCCGGCAGGGTCTGCCTGCTGGGCACGCAGCCTGTGCAGTTGCCCTCACCCTGCACTTGAAAAGGTCTTGTGCTTTGCTTAATGCTTTGCTCTTGCTGTCCTGAAATTCCTAATAATTTTTTAACAAGTTCTGCATTTTCATTTTGCATGGGGCCCTGCAAATTCTGTAGCTAGTCCTGGTGCCAAGAAAAAGAGTGTAGGCTTTTTCTTAAGGACAAGAGCTTCCTATTAAAGGATTTTAAGCGGAGGAGAGCATAAGCAGACGCAGGTTTTAAAAACATCAGTCACAAGTTGTTTCTGGGGAGAAAGATGGATGGGATGGCTGTGGTAACCGTTGAGGTTAGAGGGTCTGGCCTAAGGCAGGGAGGACAGGATGGAGGCAACATCAGAGCTGATTTATTTAGTGAGTAGAAGTAGATTGGATGCTGAAGGTACAGAGAAGAGAGAAAATCAGGATCATTCCCATGTTTTTAGCCCCAGTGATGGAATGAGGCAGGACCACTGATGAGACAGGGGACCCAGGCAGTAGGTAGCCGCAAATGCCGTAAGGAATAATGCTCTTGATTTGCAAGGGACTGCAGAACTCTCCTCCTCCTTTTCCTCCCCTGCGTCTCCCCTTCTCTGTGTCCTTTTCCCTTTCTTCTCCCTCCTCCTTCTTCCTTTTGTGGAGCTGGGGAGATCAGTCTAATCCAATTGGAGAAAGTGAGACAGATTTCAGACTTTACAAAAAGTGTCTTTTCCCTTCTGTCCCCCAAACAGCTTTCAAGCTGCCGAGAGCTTTCCTACCTAGTGGTCTTTTTCCTGCAGATCTGATCCCTCTGACTCTAAGGTTTGTCTAACTATCCTCACCTCCCTCCCCACACCCATGCCTTTCCACACTCACCACACACACATAGACACTTAACTCACTTATATCCTCATTCTTCTGGCTGTTTAATTGACAAGTCCTCGGGAAAGTCTTCACTGATTTAAGCATTGCCTCCAAGCCCACTACCATGACACACATGTGACACACCACACACACACACAAAGGCACATATACTTCATTCTCCATTATATACTTCCCTGATTTCCTGTCCTTTCCATTTTTTTCAGGACTGTCACAGCAGTAATATGTAAATGTTTGTGTAATGCCCCTTCTCTCCCATGAATCTATAAGCATCAAGAGACAGAAACCATGACCACTTTGCTCGCTGTGTCACAGAACCTGGAAAAGAATAAGTGATAAATTAATATTTTCTGAATGCAGCAATATAAATGAATGAATGAATGAATGAATGAATGAATGATGAATGCAAGAGGTGGGTTATAATGATGACGGTGGAAGCCACCCGGAACACACAGAACACATAACGCAAATCTTTGGGAGGCCTGTGTACTCTGACCCTGTAATATGGGTCCCTGGCTAGGAAGATCTAAGAATGGCAGCTCTCAAAGTGGGATATTAGACGACTTGATTACAGTGAGAATTGCATATTGATCAGCACTTTACAGTTTATAAACTGCTTTTACTAGAATTATCTCCTGTGATTCACCCAGCAGTGCTGAATCAGAGGAGTTATTATTCCCAATTGCAAATGAGAAAAAGGAGACTTGGGAGATGCTATAATTGCCTAAGATGTGAGCAAGGCGAAGTGGCAGGCTTAGTGTTCCCATCCATGAGTATCTGCGTCTGCAGCCTGTGCTTTCTTCTGCGCACCTCGGTGCCACTTACGCTAGGAGGCGCTTACCAAGCCCCCGCTCCGCGTCAGGCTGTGTGCTCTGGCAGCCGAGATGAACCTGACTCCGCAGTGAGAGGTAAATGGATGACTAGGCAGGATGGCACACACCCAGTGTGAAAGGGGCCCACAGAGGGGACAGCTGAGTCAGCTCTGGGGTTGGCTGGGCATTGGGGGCCAAGCACACAGACCCAGGCAGAGGCAGTGGCTTCCAGACTAATCCCTGGCGAGCTGGGGTAGCAGAGCAATTGAGAAATGATCTCAGAGACACATGGGGAGGGCCTTGGCCCGGCTCACTCGGGCTGTGGACGGTCAGCTCCTGGGGGGCCCACTTAGCGGGAGATGCGGGAACTGACTTCCATCCTCAGTCCTTCCATGGCCTTTTGCTCTCCTTCCAGTCCTCTCTCCCTTTCCTGGCATTTTCTCTTGCTGGCTTCTCATCACAGACCTCATTCTTTGTCCTCGGTTTTGAGTAAAGAAACAGCTGACAAGATTCACGGTGATGCTCCCATGAATAAGCAGAGAAGGAAACTGTGTCTATTAAGAAAAGGGAGAGGAAAGGAATATGAAAAAGAATATGTATATACATCTGTATAACTGAATCACTTTGCTGTACACCAGAGGCTAACACAACATTGTAGGTCAACTACTCCTCAATAAAAAAATTAAAAAAAAAAAAAAGAAAAGGTAAAGTCACACTGACCCTAAGAGAAGTAAAGACCAATAGTGGGATGCCATTCAGTGTGGTTGTGCCTTTACGTACCTGTGTGAGTGGTATTTGAAGTGGAGTGATGAGGTCTGTTACAGAGAAAGCTAATTTCTTCACTTACTTTGGAGCAGGGCAGAGCATGTCTTTTGAATGGGCATAATTTGGTGTACTTCCCCACTCTACCGTCTAAGTTCGATGGTGGTGAATTGCATCATCACCTTGAGGCTTAGTTTCCTCCTCTATAAACTGAGGACAATAATACCTACCCTATGGGGTGATTGTGAGAATTAAATCAGAGAACATATGGGGAGTGCTTGGTCCAGCGTCTGTTTTATGACTGCTTTTTGCTAAAGGGGAGCTGTTCATATGATCTTTCATTCAACTCACATTTACTCTGATCTTCTGGACACCAGATGGAGAATGTACAGATAAGTCCCAGACCTTGATCTCAGGAACTAGTTTAAGAGTGAGAAAGATACACGAAAGCAAGTGTGCAATGAGTTAGAAGTACTCATTGAGATAGAAAAATGACAAAGAACTTTGAGAG